AWRATGTATTATTAATTATTATTACCCACCTATATTTTATATCATATATTTTTATTTTTTATTTTTACTAGAGCATATACAATATATAAAGGCATAATAARAATATGTACTACAATATAATTTAAGAAAAATACAAATAGGCTGAGGGAAGAAACCATCCAGTGATCACACTTCCTTTTGCTTTATATCATATTGACTCGATCATTTGAAATATTTATTTAAATATATATTATGAATTTATTTAAAATTATTTATAATATTATATGATATATTAATTTTTTGAATGATAAGTGTATCATACCTATTTGTAATTTAATATTAAAATATCCATATTGGCCATATTTAAAGTGTTCATTTAACCAACATATAACATAGTAAATGTATGTTATGTTTTATATTWTTTTTTATTTTGGAATAAATTAGTCTATTCAAAAAAAATCATGGCATTATTTTTGATTGAATCTCAGTTTATCAAAATTTTAATTTTAATCAATTATTAGTATAATGAACTATGAGTACATAACAATATACAAAAATGGTTAAAAATATTTATATCTCATTTTGTAACAACTAAATAAAACTATTGAAATGTTTGACTTTTGAGTAGATACAGATAATGAATCAATGTCTATTTAATTATTTTGTTTAAACTAAAAATAATAATTTTTTTTTGTTTAATATATATTATTTATCTATTACTTATTAATTATGAAACTTTATATTTATTTACAGTTCATTACGTTCTGTCATTGAAAAACCCCCAATTGGAGGAAAGGAAATTTTGCCTCTAACAACTCATCAATTAGCTGGATTTCGATTACATCCAGGACCAGTATGTATTTTTAAGATTTTTAATATTCTTATATCATAGTATATTAAATATATAATTTATTGTTTTCATGTTTAGTCTAACATACTAATTTTTATAATTTATCAGTTGCCAGAACAGTATCGTTATGCAAATCAACCGCCTACTAAGAAACATAAAAATAAACACAAAAAGAGTAAATACAAAAGTGGTGAAGCCCTTTCACAAGACATGGCAGCTAATGAATTAGGGCTAGGTGATATTCACGAGAAGAAGCATAAAAAACAAAAACGTCACGATGATGATAAAGAACGGAAAAAACGGAAAAAAGAGAAAAAAAAGAAGAAACAAAAACACAGTCCAGAACATCCAGGAAATATAACTCCTGGACAGCACTCGAACTGATAGAATATTTTTCCTTAATAACATATTTTTACTTTGAATTTGTTTTCAATCAGTCATGAATAAACACTAATAAAATGTATATAGAATGTTGTCAAATTATTAGAAAGTTTTGAACAAAGTGTGGATGTATATTACCATCTTGTTGGCTACAGAAAATTGTGATGTAAAACTTAATTTTTCATTATTTGATTGGGATAGGTGAATTTTGTTTTAAATAAATAATTTTATCTGCACTAAAAGTAAAATATATTTTTTACTAATATCCATTAATAAGATATAACTATTTTAAACAATACATATTTTCTACAACAGATTATATTACTATAAAAATAATTGGAAATCAATATTACTATCCCAAATTTGTTTGTATTTATTAGATTTAAAAAATTACATACTTCAATAAATTGTGATATTTTGAAATATGCTTTTTGATGATTAGTTTATTTGTGATATGATTAGAATTAATAAATTAATTAATTAATGTGGTTAAATTTACCATTGGTTGAGTACGAAAAAAATAATTATTATAATACTATAGAGCTGTGTTTCCAAAATAAGTTATTTGTGACACCAAAGATTTTTTCTTTCATCTTTTATTTTATTTAAAAAAAATAGTATTTAAATGACAACATACATATAGCTCCATAGTATTCATTAATATTATCCTTAACAAAAATAAAAATAATGCAATGGAATGTGAAACTTGCAAAATAATTCAAACAATTAAAAATTAATTAATTAAGTTTTAAGCAAAAGTGTTATGAAAATTGTTAATTTTTTTTTTATTGAACATTAAATATTCATTTGTCTTAAATTTTATTAGCTAAATTACGTCATATAAGTTGATCTAATTTAAGAAGTTGATGTTATTTGATTGGAGATCAAGTTGTAAGGCTTCTCTTAATTGATATGATWCGTGATGTTGTTTGACGGTAAACTACACACCAAATGCTTCACAAATGGAAGGATCTTTACTAGCCATAAGGTGAATGTATTACTAAAGTGTACTCAATTCAAAATGATTTCATCTTTCCTGTTTAGAACTGGGTTTTGCCATATTTGGACATAGTTTTTACTGTATTTAATTTGGGTATTTTATTTTGAACAGTGATTTTGTCATTTTCATAATAGAATCTTCTGGAAAATTTTTTTTTTAATATGCTTAGRTTTAGATAGGGCGTTAGTAGTTGAGGCTGCTTTGGATGCTGCTACTAATTCCACTGTGTCCATGTATCCATAAAAAATTATCACTTCCTTTTTTATGTACTTCGTAAGTTTAGTATTATATCTATTGTTAAGGTACTCGGGGAGCCACTTAGTATTAAATAATTGACATATCATTGTTTTTGGTCGTATTGAGAATTATYTTTAATCTAAAAGCTGTGAAAAGGTAATTCTGTCAATGAGAAAAAAAAAAGTATAAAATAATCCCTAATTTTACCAAGTTGGTACAAAATTTATTTTTGAAAATAATTAAAGTGCTACCTAATATCTATAAGATTGAAAAACCCTTTAAAATAGAAGAATGAGTAGTTTTGCGAATAAGCTTATATAAATTCGGTGGATAAAACTTTAGGGTCAAGATATAAAAGAACTTATCAGCTACCATTTACAAAAATGCACTTGAAACATATTATTCTAGTTTAATTCATATTTATTTTGGTGTTTTAGAAAGGCAATTAAAATAATGACATTGGTTAAAATTCAGTAGAAATCTATATAAAACTAGTCTCAACAGCCTAAGAAATATGCCTCTGTAAAATTTATGTTTAAGACATTRTTCATCACTTTACAATTGTATGTACAAACTAAAAAGTAACAATGTATATTTTTGATGAATTAAAACATAGTTTAAACATAATGAACACAAGTCATATAATCAGTTAAAGACAAGAATAATTTATAAAATGATGTCTAATATTAAACAGTATTCATGTCAAAACAAACTTTGTAAAGTAGAAACAAAAAAAACAAATATTTATTGATGTCATGGAAATTCACTTTTAGTAACAAGTGACTAAAGTTACTAGTTAAGTGAYTAGTTATGTGTCAATATATATAATGAGAGTATTATGAAACAATTTTTGTTTAAAATTATATTTAACTTAATGTAGGTTTTCCAAAATCTTTTTTGGTTTGAATTATCTTTTGTAGGTTCCTAGAAAAAAAATTGTTCATGTGACAACAAAATTTGGTCATAACACCTAGCAGCTATTTTTAAAGTCTTTTTAATGAAAAATATCTARAATATGTTTAGTATTAAAATTTTCCAATATTTTTACATACTAATTAGAAGTCTAATGAATGATCTTTGAAAACAAATCATTTTAAATATTGCAGTATTAAGTAAATAAATAAAAAT